ATTGCGAAAATTGCAAAGATTGGTAGAAATTTTTCGATTCAGTTTAATCCATCTATCTGCACACTTGGCAAAAAATTTTGGGACACCCTGTATAAGAAATCACCTCCTTTCCAGTTATAACACGATTTCTGGAACATCCTATATAAACTCACCATGATAAATAAGGTGTTTAGGGACACAACCCAGAAGACATGTTCAAGAAAGACAAGAGATCCGTCCAATCCTAAGAGACGCTCCCAAGTTAATTCTTCAGCTGGTCTGTCCCACTCCATAGGATTCCAATTGGCCTCCTCGGCTTCACCCTGCGCCTGACCTACTACATGGGCCTGCACTGCATGTCCTCTCGCCCAACGCTCGCCACCCGCGCCATTCGCCTGTCCACCATCTACGCCGAGTTCATCCCTGATTGGAAGGGGTGGTATGGGAGGAGCTGGTGCTTGTACATCTCTCACCAGATCTTCGGGTTCGCCAATTCGTGGATTATTGGCCAAGTTTTCTGCTACTTCTCGATATATGGGACGTTGATCTATGATTTGATTGAATGAAACAAAAAAATCCTATTTAATACTAATTAATTAATTTAATACTGCAAGATGATTAATTACTTATTTTGAGTATTAAAAGCAGTTCAATGCTTTCCAGTGCCTTTAAAATTTTTGTAAGGCAAGACACTATCATTTTACGTTATAATAACTATATAAATTTTGTCATGTTATTATAACACTTTATCATTTTTAAAAATCTGAAAGTCTATCTCATCTTGTCAAATTACCTTCATTATGTAACTCCCCTTCTTGAGGAATAGGTGGATCAATGAAAGGAGGAACATTATTGTTGTCCTGGACTTCTTGTGGCATAGCACGTTGTTCCTGAGGTTGTTGTGGTCGTTGTGCGTTTGCTTGTGGGGGATTGTCAACTGGGGGCAGTTGTATATCTCTTTCAAGCCAGTCGGGGCCGCCCGCATGTAAAATTTGCTCGCGTAGCCATACCAGGCCGATAAACGCGAACAAAGTGCAAGTAACTACGAAACAACCGTGAAACACATCCGACGATATACTTTCGGTGGAAAGCATATCCATCGGTAACGACATTATCTGCAAATACATAATTTCAATATTAAATTTGTTAGTATTAATTTTTAAATTGCAAACTTTCCTGCACGAAAAAAATAAATAGGTATATTAACAGTATTAGCTCATAGCAATTTTTGAAAATAAATATTATCAATTTGCATATAAATATTATTAGACATCAAAATCCACTTCAAGCGAAGGTAGGACTATTTCTCTTATTTGATTTATTCTTATCTGTCTAATTTCTACTTATAATTACTAATAATGCTATTAATTTTGTTTTTCTGTGTGTATTAAAGTTAAGATCATTTATTATGATATCAGCCCGTATCAGATTATAGATTGAGATTGAGAGCGAGATTTAATTTAACTAATCAAAGAAAAATTTACTAAACTTGATATTGATTTGTTTTTCGTCTGATTAGTTAATTTCAATTTCTAATCTAAACTTCAGCTAACGTCTCATATGTCATATATTTGTCATATGATAAATTTTTCCTGTTGGCTAAAAAGATTTAAGAACCTCTCTATTTTGCAATCAATTAACATGCTTGAAAAATTTATCATATGACAAATCTAATTTTGCATTTCCTTCATTTACCCGAACTAAATCAAGCGGCCCGCTGAAGAGAGCTCTATATGTGCGACACGCAGTTAATGGAACGACTCCCAGCCACGCGATCGCTACCAGTGTGTAATGTAACCAGTATTTCACGGCGGTAACAATGCTTGAGAATAAACCGCCTATGACATCTCTCAGTGGTAAACGTCGTGGCATGTCTGGACTGTATATAGGTGTGAATGAAAAACGGTAACCACAGAGTTCGCAGTATTCCTTGCGCGAATAGCGCATCCACTGCACTAGACATTCCTGATGTATCCATTTAATGCTGCCTGTGCATATGCAAGGATGAAACAGGGGTCTGTCTGCGAGGCCTTCGGATCGACAGACCCTACAGATGTCCGCACCCAACATGTCCTCCGTCATGTTTGGTATTTTAAAAACAGCCACGAATCAAGCAAGGGAAGTCAAAAATGGTCCTCTATTGCTAAAATACATAAAATATTTATGAATTTTATATTATATAATTAATAAATATGAAAGTTTTAAAAAGATATAATTATAACACTTCAACTTATATATTTTAACAAAATTTGTTATCAACAGATCGTACGTTTATGAAATTTTGGAAAAAGCTGAAACGAAAATTTCGAGGACTCAGAACAAATATATAGTCTGGGCCATAAGTATGAAGCACAACAAATTAACGCAAACATTCTAGAGAATCTAAAGAATAAAGAAAAATAGATTAAAAAACAATTTTATTAAAAAAATATTTATTTTTACAATTTTTAATTTGCTTTGTTGGTTCTTTTGTAGCTTTTACTACTTTCTTTTGTAAGAAAATGCAACAATGCAAAATGTTGGATGCATTATATATTTATGGCTTATAGTCAAGACTGTATTAATTAATATACTATAATCTTATATCAAATTGGACTTGATTTTTGACAATTAGAATTGGACTTTCTAATCCTACATTAAATGACATGTTGCAAAAGATTATCGCATAGTTTTTTAAGTATTCATGATTATAAATAGCAAACTAAATATTTTTTGTGAAATTTCTCCATAAATTCCAAATAAAATTCTTGAATTTTTCATCAGATCCAACAATTAAATACATAAAATCAAAGAGAAAACATTTGATCTTCTCTCATTTGTAAATAATTCTGATTGCAGATTAATAAAAAAATATATGTGGACGATAAAGTTCATATCGTGCATATGAAAAGGAAAAAAGAAAAACGAAATGTATGAAAAATTGATCTGTCTGCAAAATGAGATTATTCTTCCAATCTTTTAGATCATGTTTCTGTCCGTCCTGACAAATATTTTTCTGAAAATTTTCAATATTTTTTAGAATTTTTATATAAATTTAATAAGATTTCAGAATTTTTGAATAATTTTATAATCTTTTAGAAAATTTTTCGGATTTTTTTTACACAAATTGGAACATTTCAGAAATACCGAAAAAATATACGAACATCTCTTCTAAAATTCTTAATATAATTCTAAAATATTCTAAAATTTCTAAGATTTCTCATTCTGTAATTTCTTAAAATCTTAGGATGTGTTTTATTTCACGTAATATACAATGACCTAAGCAGAACAAGTCACGATAACATTAAAATAACATTAAAATGTCATGAATAATTGGAAAATGACTTTTAATGATTATTTTGGAATCATTTTGATATCATAATGACTTGTTTTACTTGGAAAGTAAAACCTTCTTTAATATTTGGAATAATAAGGATAAAATAATACATCATATTAATCGTGAAACAAAATGCACTAATAAAATCTAAAGAAATTTTATGTAATTTATATATATTGATATTGATGATTTTTTGTAATTTATAGAAATCTTAGAATGTTCAGAATTCATATATATATATATATAT